ATGGAGGAGGAGGAGCATGGTGATGGTGATTGTGATCCAGCAGACATTGGTGGCAATAATAATAATAATAATAATAATGAGAAAGTTACCCTTTGCATGAGAATAATAAGAATAATAATGATAATTATAATAATGATAATAATAATACTACTACTAATAATAATAATAATGATGATGATGATGATGACGACGGTGATGACAAATACAAGCAGACTGCTAACATTAATTATGAATGTTTTGTTGGCTTTTGGGTGGCGACATCCATCTCAATTGATGATGATGATGATGATGATGATGATGATGACTATGATGATGATGATGATGACGATGATGATGACTATGATGATGATGATGATGACGATGATGATGACTATGATGATGATGATGATGATGATGATGATGATGATGATGATGATGATGATGACGATGACGATGATGAGGAGAACATTAGCATTAGATATTTATGATGATGATATATATGTGGTGATGGTGATGATGATAATATATATGTATGTATAAAATTTGCATTTATATTAACAAATACCCAATTTGTAATTACAACAACAATTACCCCAGCAACAACAACAACAAGCAAACATTACAACAACTACAACAGCATCAACAATCACATGCATACCAACAACAAACTAGTTGAAATTAAATAAATAATCACAACAACAAAAATTACAACAACAACAAAATCGTTACAGCAACTACATTTCATCAACACATCAACAGCAACAGTTACAACAACGACAACAATTACAACATCAACAACATCAACAACAATTACATCAACTACAACAATAACAACAGCAATTACAACTCTAACAACAGTTACAGCAACGACAACAATTACAACAACGTCAACATCAGTTACAGCAACTACAACGATTACAACATCAACAACAACAACAACAAAACCAATCAAAATCTTGAAATTGTTTTTTAATGGAGAATGGCGTGGTCCATACCCGCCTTACGTTATTGTTGTTGATGTTACTGAGGTGATGATAATGATGGAATGATGTTGTTGTCGTTGATGATGATGATGATGATGTTGTTGTTGGCGTTGTAGTAGTAGTTGTTGTTGTTGTTGAAGTTGATGTTGTTGTTGTTGATGATGATGTAATTGGCGTTGTAGTGGTTGTTGTTGTTGATGATAATGATGCTGTTGTTGGCGTTGTAATTGTTGTTGTTGTTGTTGATGTTGAAATTGATGTTGTTGTTGTTGATGATGATGATGAAGATGTTGTTGTTGTTGATGTTGAAGTTGTTGTTGGAGTTGATGTTGATGTTGTTGTTGTTGCTGTTGATTTTGATGCTTCCGTTGTTATTAAATTGACTGTTGTTAATGTCCTTGTTAATGAAATGATGAATAATGTTGTTGTTGTTGTTGTGTGTAATGTTAAAATTGTTTTGATAATTTACAACTCCACCTCATCACAGTATCACAACAGCAACAACAAAATACAAGACCACGGACAACAACAACACAACAACAACAACATCAACAACAAAAAAACAACAGCAAGGATAAAAACAACATCAAATAACAGACAAACCATAACTGCAATTAAAAACACAACATCAACAACACAGCAATTTGTTACATCATCAACACCATCATAATCAACAACAACAACATCAAAATAACAACAAAAACATGTTGTTACATCAGCATTATCAACAACAACAACAAAATCAAAATATAAACAACAAAACATCATTATAACCAACAACAACATCATCAACAACAACATCAAAAACAACAACAACAACATCAACAACAACATCATCAACAACAACATCAACAACAACATCAACGACAACAACAGCATCAAAAACAACAGCAATAACAACAGCAATAACAACAACAACAAAACTTTGCACTAGTAGGTAACAACTTTGTCACATTTGGTGGAGTGTGAAAGTGTGGTGGGTGTTGCTAACCTTATGAAATCTGATATATCATTAAAGGCTATTGATGAAATCTTTTATGGCTATCTAGGTTGTTGTTTGTGTAGTTGCTGTTGTTACTGCTGTTGTTGATGTAGTTGTTGCTGTTGTTGTGTTTAAGATGTAGTTGTTGTTATTGTTGTTGATGCTTTTGTTGTTGTTGTTGTTTGTGTATTTGTTGTTGATGCTTTTGTTGTTTGTGGTGTTGTTGTTGTTTGTGTAGTCGTTGTTGCTGTTTTTGTAGTTGTTGCTGTTTTTGTTTGTGTAGTTGTTGTTTTTGTAGTTGTTGCTGTTGTTGTTGTTGTTGTTTGTGCAGTTGTTGCTGCTGTTGTTGTTTGTGTTATAGTTTAGTTAAGTAACTAATGTAATTAGCAATTAATTAAGTAATTAATGTGATTAAAAATTAATTGAGTAATTAATATGATTAGTAATTAATTAAATAATTAATGTGGCTAATAATTAATTATGTAATTAATGTGATTAGTAATTAATTTAATAATAACATGATTGTAGAAACAATAAGTTTTTTTTTCAACTGTAGAACAATGAACAACCTAGCATCAACACGACAACCAAACAAGGTATTAATACAACAACACACGCACACAACAACAACACACACCACATATACAACAACACACACCACATACACAACAACACACAAACACAAACACAACAACACATCGCCGTATAAAGCATCCATCCCAGTACGTATTCTAAACTTGTCAACATGTCACTCCATCAAATGGAATATCTTCTTAGACTGAATGATGACATCACGACAACAAAAACATTAAACATCTCTGCGTTAGGTCAAAATCACCGCATGACATTAACTTCATTCCAACAACAACAACAGCAACAACAACATCAACAACAATAACAACGGCACACAAACAACAACAACAACAAACAACACAAAAACAACATTTACTATGATTACAACAACAACAATAGCAATAACAGCTACTACAACAACAACAACAGCAACAACAACAACAGCAACAACAACGACAAAAGATTATTAAGTCATTACTAACGTAAATTGAATTTGTGAAAAAAAACATCGAATCCTGAATTGAAAGAAAGTTAAGTTGAAATATCTTGACAGCAGTCAGATGACATTAAAAACAGTACATACAACATCACAACAATCACATTACATCACATGAAGTTAATGTTATAACGTGACATACAACATACAAGAAATCATAGCATTAAATTGCATAAAAATGTAACTACAAATTCAACTATATCCACGACAAAACGCATCAAAAAAATGATCAACAACAACAAAATACATCACAGACTTTAACAAAAAACATCAGTTTGCAACAACAACAACAAGTAGCATCAAATTACAACAACTTCGGCAACGCCAACAAAACACATCAACACACATCATGAAAAATTGACAAAACTTATAAAATGAAATATTAAATGCTATCTCAAACAACAATATCGTTTTTCGAACGAGTGCAACTGAACTCACAACAACAACAACAACATCATCAACAACAACAACAACTTTATTATAA